TTCCAAATGTCCAAGGATTACATAATCAAACCTATGCATTTGGACTGAATAGTCATTGAATGATAGACATCCAACCAATCATGAAGACTCATCAGCCCAAGGAAACAGCAACCACACCTTTGATCCCACTGGTCAAAACAACTTCGAATTCACAGCTGCCAACATCAGAAAGGATGGTCTTGACCCCTTCGAATCTCCCCACCAGTCAGATCAGTTACCATTGGAACACCAAAACAATCATCATCTTACCAATTCTTGTGTTCAGCAGCTCCACCAATACTTTCAAAGTGAACATTAAAAACAGAAAAAGATCCAAGAAGAGAAGAACTGGGAGGAAGTATACCAGGAAATCTGCTTGGGGTAACCCAAACCTATGGAACCAGGATTGGAATGAGGCCTGTTATTGTAATAATCCTTGAACAAGCCCAGTGGTATTGGTAGATATGTTCAGTATATTTCCATCAATTGAATGATCAAGATGAAGTTGGTGTGAAAACATGTCATCTGTATACGGATTCCCATCATCCTTTTCCAGGCAGAAAACAAATTGAAGTCTCATTTTGCAAATGCCAGTCAGACCAGGTCCGCCTTATCAGGATGAGTTATATTGGAGGATGACCAAAATTCCCCAGAACCACATTTTCCATGCGCCTCATGCAATTCCTTCATATCATTTGGAAACAATGTGCAGTATCAATCACACCTTTTCCCACCTTTTTCAAAAGCTCTGGGCAAGTTCCTTGATTCAAATAACCCTCTCATTCTTGTATCACCAGCAACTTTGCAATCTGAAAGTTGTTATACTGTGAGAGATTATTCAGCCTTAGTGATCCATGACAATCAGTGTGAGATACATAAGTATAAATACTAATGCCAAATAATTATGTCATTTCAGACCACACAATGGAGGCAAACCATCTCTAGTGCAGCAATTGATGTATACCAGGTGATGATCAGGCAAGGATAGATTGTATTGGAAGAGCTCTTACAGATAGGACCTATGGATAAACTTGTGAATATTTGTCCAAAGGGCTAAGGCCCCCCAGTTTCTGGAAAGACACCAGAGGAGCCAGATTATATTAGTGGGATTCAGAGTTGAGTGCAAATGCCTTGCAAGAGGGTTTGAAAGTCACTCTGCACAACAAAGCATGCATTTTCAGCTCCAATTGCTTATTGGAAGGTTAGATGTGGCTACTAGAAAGCCATTTTTGGAAATCTCCATGCATGAGAGTGACTTGCAAAATGTTCTGCAAGTCACTTGCACTCAACCGTGAAACCCCCTATTGTATGCATGGTTGGAAATTTCCAACATCATAGACACAAGAGCTTCTTCAAAGTTGCAAGCCTACCACTCTCTTCATTTCTCCAGCAGAGGTTCAGGAAATGCAATTGAGTATGGTAGCCAGTCAAAACAACTTGACAGCAGATGAAACCTTAGTAAGTAACATCTTGTTTAAACATTTTGAAATGAAATTAATGATATAAATTTATGTCATTGCAGGACTGATGTACTGAACAACATACAGCAGCCAATGATCCCAGGGGTGCTGCAACATGGAAGGCTTGTGATGATACTGGCATCTTAAGGGCATTGACAGAGTTAGGATTTCCTCTTGTCTCCCTAAAGTGGAAAATCAATAATACCATCTGATACCCTTGATATTGGAGACAATGTTGAAAGTGGCCCATCACCAGAAAGGTATCAAATATAACCAAATCCACCATTATTTAATTGACTGGTTTGAAAAAAATCCACCCCTTTTTAAACATGTTGGTTATCCATTTAACCCCTTTTGGGGCCCATTTATGCAAAAAAAAGTTTTTGGAAAAGTGACTGGTTTCTGATGGTGGATTTCCTATATTTGATACCCCCTAATGATGGCCAACCAATCCAGCATTGAACTGTTGGGAGTCCACTGCAGGGGTGGACAGGGTTGTACCAAAAACATTGGTGGGCTAACATTGAAGTGCAGCCATGGTGTAGTTTGACAACCTCTCCCATAGGCTACCTTAATCCAAATCAAATGGAACCAATGCAGGTTATGAGAGCCTTTGAGATCAAAGTTGGAAAATCACACTTCTGTCTGCACCAGCAGGGAAAGAAGAAGAAAAGGATTCAAAAACAACATTCACTTGATGTTAATTCCTATGATATGCCTTTTAAATTTTAAAACAAATGGGTGTTTGGTCCAGTCATTCTGGCAAGATGGCCCTTCACCAAAATCTCTTCAAACACTTGAGTTATGCTGATCTTTTCCTTATCTGGCTCAAGACATAACATGTAATTTGCTCTAAACCCAAAAACAATTAGCAACTATAGATTCAATTGCATCAATAAAGATTGAGGAAACTTAATTCACAAACTGCTTTTGTAGGAGAATTGCCCTACAATGATGAAACAAATATGAATGAGCTGGTTAATCATTTCTGCAAAAATCTAATTTCTGTTTGGAGGATCTTTTTGGTATTGAGAAAAATCACATTCATAAACTGGTCCAGTAATCATCCTGGGTTGAAAGTAGCAGAAGAAACACAAACCTCTTGAAATTCAACATTCAAGGGCAGGTTTTCCCTGAAAACTGTGTGTAAGATTTTTGGGAAGCTTGTGTGTAGAACATCCTTACTACACTTAAGTAGCATTCCTGTTGACATTCACTAATAAGGATTGGGCTTGTCAAAGACTCCAAGATAGCAGATCTGTTTTAAGCCAAAAATCCCATCGCACCTGAATTGGCTTAACAACTGTATTTGCCAATTGCATGTGACTGTGCAGAGGTTCTTTGGTTTTCTGAAAAAGGGAGACTTCTTTACAATGTCCCTTTGGCATTATTTTCTTTGTTTAAATTATGAAAACATGTATATCCAATGTTTACTTTACCTTTCAATTGGTTGGGTGGCCTGCGCAAGCCTCTTATCCACACATATCAACATTTCACCCATACCAGTAAATGCATACTGAGGACTAGCAATAAGCTGGAAGCAAGACTGAATATAAGCTGATTGGGTTTTGCCTTCTCCAAATTAGATGGTAGTCCTGACCCTGAGGGGCCAGAGTTCATTGCTTCATCTGGCTCAGGACTAACCTCTTCATCTTCTCATGAGGATGAACACGCGGGGTCAGGATATTTGAATGGTGATTTGGACAAGAACTATACTCCAATTTTGCATCAGTGAGCAATCAATCCAAACTACTCCAATTCTTCTCAAGACAAATTAGGGGGTGTCAAATATAGGAAATCCACCATCAGAAACCAGTCATTTTCCCAAAACTTTTTTTTGCATCAATGGGCCCCAAAACAGGATAAATTACTAACCAACATGTTTGAAAAACGTGGATTTTTTCAAACCAGTCAATTGAATAATGGTGGATTTGGTTATATTTGATATCCCCTGTTGACTTATCACCCATACTGTCTATCATATAGGCCTTGAAAGAATTGAGAAGGTGATTTCAGAAATCCTCTAATCAATGCAGCACCTCAAAAAGAGCAATTAATTGGTCCTCCGGGCTGCAAGTGGTCAATACAAAAGGGTAAGCAACCTTTCACCTGCAATATGGTTGGTTCATGAGGTAACTGACAATGTTCCATGTGTAATTAGTAGACAAAGATCATCACATATAAACACTGTGTGGCTTGTTCTTTAATATGATGAGCTTGTGAAAGTTCCAACTCAGGTGTGAAAAACGTGAGTGTGTTCTCTATTCCATTGTGATTTGCATAATATGTTGTTGTAGGTCAATGTTTGATGGATGCTTCAGCCTCTCATATACAACAAAGTAAGCAGGTTTACAACTGTGCACCACAACCTCAAAGAAGGCCAAAAAATCTCACCACATTAGGTTTTGTAAATGGTCCTGAAAGAAAAACCATCTATGACAAAAAATATCAGCTCAACCCCTTTGTACATGGATTCTCTTTCCACCACCGCCGAAAGTGCAGCAGTGGTGAGCAAAACAGACATTGGAAAAGTACCAGCATACATTCATTTGGGTTGCTCTGTGTGTGAAAAAAGGTTCCAGACAAGATGGTTTGGTTGCAGTAGGGAAAGTCTTGATACTGTACACCTTTCCTAATTTGTTTGGTTCATGTTATTGTGCTGCATGAATAACAGGTTGCCATTGCCAAGAAGCTTTTCTATGGGGGTCTCTGTCTGATCCTAACTGAACCTGGAGGATGCATTGAGGATGGTGCTACCAAAACATAGCAGAAATCTGCCTTGATGATAGAATCAAACGTATACTGATATTGAAGAAAGATGCCAGCTATCCGTGCTCCATCGAGGTCCTCCAAATCCCAAGAGAAATACATTTTCTGATCACATTATACACGCAGGTGATAATGGCAGCAGTTGATAGTAATTTGGAGACTCTAGAGCAGGCATGTGGTCCATCAACTCTGATTGTGGTTTGTTCATGTATCTCATATATTAACAGAATGTGTCTATTTTGATGATGACTGATCACTGAGAAAAAAATACTTGTCTTGTTTGTCAACAAGATAGTATCCAGACAGGCAAAATGCCATGTCATAGGACTTCTGCTGGAGCATCCAGATTCTGTTGAAAGGCAAATCCCAATGTTTATGCTCATTGAGAGTGACACTTCTGGATATTGCATCACTCCAATTTCCAAGTCAGTCAGGAAATAGACAACCTCAGCTGATTGGCCTCTCACCAAGGGATTGGGAAAGGTCAAGTCCCGTTTGAGGCTTGGTCTAACATAATTCTATACAGAATGCTCAAGTATCCATCCATTAGGGACGCAAGGGATACGGGAAAGAGCAACGCTCTGGCCGGGGGCTCTAGCGCGCGCCCGGGGGCGTGAGCCTTCCAGCTACACAGATTCTTGGTTTGTCTTACATGCTCACATGTTCGGTGCCCTCTGCTGGGGTGGGCACCTAGGGGAACCCAAAGACCAGGGAGTGGTCTCTCAAGTTCCCCGTGTGTGGGTCAGGGGGGAGAGGGTCTCGATGGTCAAGACCCGGCGCCCGGCTTGTGACCTATTGGAACCCTTTAGTGAGTCCCTCCCCTTGGATCTGCCGGTGAGGCGGGCCAAGGGGTGAAGACTCACGAGAGGTTTCCGGGAGTAGCCGAGGCGCTTCCCCGGAGCAGAAAGACACCCCCAAAGGGGGTGAGGCAAAACGCTTGACCCAATTCTCGAGGATAGGGTGGCCTCGAGCCTGCGTTGCTTTGCTCTCTTTACTGACACGCACAAGATGGGGATGAGGAGAGAATGTATTACAAGATGGGGGTAGGTTGGTACATCCAGCATCTTTCTAACTCGGCGAGGAGAGCGTCAGTGTGCTCCATTTCATTCTTAGTGAAGTCACGGAGGTATAGCTTATAGGAATCCGAGGCCCACCGTCCTCTGATACATATCTCGCTAATCGGCACTCCTAACGCGACTTGGATGGAGGCTCCCCCAACCCGGAAGGAGTGACCGGATACTCCTTCAAAGCCGCTGGCCTTCCAAATCTTGGATAGCGCCTGTGTCACTCTGGGCCTGGTGAGGTGGATCCGATTTCCTTGATCGTCGGTATAGCCAAAAAGCAAGGTGTCCTTGCCTCCCGCTTCGGTGAGCCTCCTCTTGACGGCTAGGACGGGGCAGAGCATATGGGGGAGCTCCTTGAGGTAGATAATCTGAGTTTGTCCAGGATTAGCCGTCTTTGCTCCTCGGATGGTTAGCTTGGCGAGGTTTTCTCTCTCCTTGTAGACCAGTTTGATGTCTGTGGTTAAGAGGGAGGCGGTCTTTCTTAGAGGTCCGGTTTCTTTGTTGTAGGTGAGCTCTGCCAACCGGGCCATTCCCCAGAATGCTACAACGCTCAAATCTAGGAGGGCTTTCTGGAAGGGGTCTCCGTTGATTAGCAGCTTGGTCAGCTTGATGAGGTTCTTGACGGTTACCGGTTTCTTCGGAGGCTTCGCCGCTGTCTCTGCGTCGACATACACCGACGATTTCAGGAAGGTGGCTACTTTAGCCTTGGAGTCAGTCGGGTAAGGGGCGTCGTGATAGACGTGCCACATTTGTAGCCCGGCCAAGTACTTGCTGAGGGTATTGGCAGAGATATCGTGAGTCGTTGAGGACTCAGCCGTCCTCCCTGCCCAACAGCAGAAGTCATAAATGTCTTGCGCTGATAAGGGAAGGTTGAAGGTTGCCCTGCCAGATTCTCTTGCAAAGGTTTGGTACTTTTTGATCACAGCATTGTAACTGAGGAGTGTGTTCCACCGGCAGCCTAGTAGGTAATGTCTCTCCTGGGCTGATGGGTCTCTGGGAGACGAGCCGTTGCTCGTTATGGCAGTAATTTTCTTTAAGTCTAACATGAGGAATTAGGAATAGGATATAGGATTGGAGTTGAGATATAGGTGATCTGATGGTGGGTGGAACTAGTACAAGATTTGGTAGTTCGACAGAGGAGGATGGGATAACTATTGGACTAGGTCAACAAACAGACTGGAACAACCTATGTCTTAAATCGAAAGGGATGGTGATTGGGATCTGGAGCTGGGGGTCACGGCCCGTCCTATCACCCCTTGACAGCGCATCTGCAATGTTATCCCCTGATGAGACTCTTCTTGAGACTATGTCTAACTCCATCGTGATCAACAGCTCCTGTATGATCTTCCACTCTTCATTCAACGCTACGTGTTTAGACTTACGTTTCAGGATGGCACTCTCTGTGGTTGTATTGTCGGTCCAAACTATTAGCGTCTTCCCCTTTTTTACTTGGAGGTGCGTCAATGCGAGGAAGCCAAGCCTTATCGCGACTGTTTCGAGCCATGCAATGTCTCGTTTTGGTTTGGGATCATGGTTCCATTCCTTGGTTAATTGAAATTGGGCCCAGCGGCAACCGATGGTAACACCAATACCATAGCTTGTCGACGCGTCCCCCATCCACCCGATTTCGACCGGGTCGGGGTCTCTTATCATCCTGGTTTCTTGGAAAGTGAGGAGGGTGGTGAGCCAGTGCTTGAGGTCTCTCTTTGCGCTGTCGGGGAGTGGGAGATTTCTCGATTGATAGACCCAAGCACCAGGAAAAAAGATTCAGCACCCAATAGTGGGTGGCTTTGTTTATCCCAGCCCTATCCTGGATTTATTATTGACTGTATATATACTCTACATCTGTCATATCCATGATTTTATCTTTTAAGGTATCCTATTAGAGATTTAAAATGGAAAATGGCTTTTGTATGTCATATTCTTTTTATCCTGGGAGGAAAACTTTTTTGCTTAACACATCATACCTTTGAACCAATATGATCATTGAAACAGGTCAAAAACCTGTCATAGGTATACCATAAGAAAAGATCCCTTGAGGTTAAAACAAGCTAACCAGGCCAAGAATTTATCATCTTGTAAAAAGCTTCTGCTTGTTTATCTTTGTGAAAATTAACTCTTTTCTAAGAAATCAATTTTCAAAATTAAGCCAAAAAGTATGGTGATTGATATGGGTGGAGTACTTGGGTCCCCTTGGCAAACAAAGAACTCCCAGTGTTCCAATATCTGGATTTCCTCCTTTATCTTCTCCATCAACAATTCTGTAGAATATAACCATCCCATTCTTTCAACCCATGAATAAACTCCATAAAGAAAAAGATTAATTTATTATGGTTTTTCATTGACTGCTTGGTCTTTTGTAGCTAATTCATCATTCATGTCTTTGGAAACCTTGAAATTTGGTTTTAACTTCCCCAGCTCAACAAGCTTGGCTTGAGCTAAGACACTTATTGAATGTTTACATTCTATCAAAAATCTGCAAGAATTTTTCATGCAAAATTCACATGCATTTTTCAGGAAAGAATGAGAAAATTGAATTCTTAAAATGATGCATGGGTTTTGGGCTCAATGAGAAATAATTAAAGACATGATGTGTTGCAAAAAGATAAGAAAGACATGTTCTTTAAGGAAATCACAATGTGGCAGTCAACCACAGCTCACCAGGCCATCATTGATTGAATCGTGAAGAGACTGAAATTTCCTCTCAGAAAAAAAATAAAAATTCCAGCAAAAGGATTACATTCTCTTATCTGAACAGCACAGATCTCATTAGTAAAATGAGGGTAATCTTTTCCTGGAAACACTCCTCATATTTTTTCTGTATGATTTTGATTTATCCCCCTTCAATTATGGATGACAAAGTTTGAAGAGGGTACTTCTTTATTACCTTAATTGCTATTCTTTGAAACCTCTCAATAGCTTCTCCCTTAAAATTCCAAAATTGCACTGAGTTTAAGTGCTCAACTGTATCAATTTTGTGTCAAAATCAAGGGAATCAGCTGTGAGAAAACTATTGATTAGTGTGAATCTGCTACAATTCACTGCTTGTGAATGAGTGTATATGGGGTTTATGTAAGTGTGCAATCTTTTTGTTTTGGAAAAATTCCCATCATCAAATATTCAAACTAATTCAAGCCATCCATACCAACTGATCAGATTATTATGGTACCTCTCACATTGAATCTCTGCACAAACGAAAAATGAACCAAACTGATTAGTTTCCACACTTGGGATTTAATCAATTCTTTCCTCCCAGAATAAATGGCACACCACTTCCGTATCTCCCACTGATCTCTGACTATATATGGAGATACAAAACGGATACACTGAGCTTTATTTTAATATTTTATTTGGATAAGAATTGAATACACCAAAGACATAATAAATTTCAAATTGACATGGACATGTAAAATCTTATGAGACATCTACTTCCCTTATTACATATGTATTGCAACATTTCAATTCTTCAATCTGATTGAATCAATGCACTAGCACTGTGATAAGGGCCAACAGGAAAACTAAAATGGTATTTTAATTTTTTTGAGCCACATTTTTCCTCAGATCTTATTTGGAATGTGGAGTTTTTTTTGGCTGCATAAAAAACACATATTTTTTGATCTTTGAACTGTATTAGTTTGGGACTAGATTATTAAATTGAAAGATTAAATAAAAGCAAAAAAAATCCCATGAATTCAAAATGTTCAAATTGGCCTAAATTTCTACAAAATTTAAGAATTTATCCTCCCTGTGATTAGATCTTGGGGAAAAAAATGAATTTTGAGACTTTGCTTCATTATGGTCTTAAGGTAGAATACACTCTCTATCTTTGTCTTAACAATCAAAACAAGTTCACAAAGATCACGACCAAGTGATATAATATATTTTTTCTCTTTTAATCATGCTTTAGAAACCTGGCAGTACGTGTATTGGATATGATTGATAAGGATGTTCATAAGAGGAACAAAAAAGGGGGATTAAGAAAGATCCAGAAAAAGTAATCAGCTCAATTAATGGCTACTAAATTTTACAATTCAACCAAGACTCCTGATTTTAATCAAGAACACAATTTCATTCTTCACAATTCACAATTCACTGTTTCAATTTCTTTTTTTTTTAAATCTGTGAAGAGAACAAGCAGAAACAGGGGGTTTTCTCAAAATTACAACTTACAGATGAGTAATACCTTCAAGAAGATTTATGCCAAACTTTTCCAATCAAATGTTTAAATATCAATTTAGTGTTGACTTTGGTTAAGCTTCTTTATTTTACCACATCTTTTTTCAGTCAAACTTTGAGGTTTATATAATTGAAAAATATACCACTGGGATAATTTTGTGTTCTTCCTTTGATTCTGATTTTTTCCATTGTTTGATATTCAAATGATCAATAAAATCATAAACACCACTTATTAGGGGGTATCAAATATAGGAAATCCACCATCAGAAACCAGTCACTTTTCCAAAAACTTTTTTTTGCATAAATGGGCCCCAAAAGGGGTTAAATGGATAACCAACATGTTTAAAAAAGGGTGGATTTTTTCAAACCAGTCAATTAATTAATGGTGGATTTGGTTATATTTGATACCCCCTATTTGATTGAAAATATTTTGATTCTTTCTCTCTTGTTGGGATTTTTGAATCTAGATGTAGATCTAGTTGAATGACTGTTGAGTACACTTTCCATAAAATTAAAATCTCTTTTTTCTTCAAATCTCAGCTACTTGACAGTAATATTTCACCCCTTTTGATATAAGATAAAAAACTATGTAGAAAAAAGGGAGTGTAGAAAAGAGTGCTCAGCCTCTAGTCTCATGTGCATTATCCAATCTGAATTAAATCTTACTTATACTTCTTTGATAACAGATCTCTTTATGAGCACTAATATAAGAAATTTTCCCTTTGCAATTCCACTCCCAAGTACCATTCCCCACATCATCCTGCAGTACATTCAATCCCTGGTCTCAAACTAGATTTTATAATGGGTGAGTTTATATCAGGGGAAGACTAAGGCATGCATTTTGGGTAGATTTTCCCCCTGGATATTTGTCTAGTGTGTGTTAATTAATGTGGTAGAAATTAGAGAAATCAAACTCTCACCATAAACACCATCCCATTGGACATGGTGTTTTGGATTGAATGAAAACTGGTCTACTTTCCTACATTGAATCATGAATATGCAGTTCAAAATTCTTCTCAGATTGATTTCAATTTAATTTATCTATCAAGAAAGATTTCAGGCAATTCTGGAATGAAAATAGAAACACACATTAATGAATTTTAGTTGATCAAACCATCAAACTTCTTTTTTTTTTTTGAAAAAAGTGCTAAATGTGAGAAATTCTTCTCAGAGACTTATCTTTTGCAAAAAATACTATGTTATGATTCAAAAACCTTTGGAATTGATTGGCAGGAATTTGATATGTCCACAATTTTTGGGAGTTGAATCTATTAAGTTTAAGAATGGTCAGAAGTGAAACCACTGTTTTGAGGTTACTCCTCTGTGGATGATCAATACTGTACATTCCTTTGTACCTCAAATTTACCTCAACACCATGGAGTTAACTTTGTTGTTCAATCTTCACAGAAATGAATTTCCTTATTTCATTTACAAAAAAAAAATTATCCACAACCTTTGGTACTGAGTTGATCTCTCACATTTCTTTGATGACACAGGGAAATCCACCTCATACAGAACTCTTCTTCATGAAAAAAGATTAAAGTACTGAATTTATGTAATTTCCAACTAAAAATAATTTTCAAATACAATGAATTTGCACTCAAGCCAGATTGTTTTGAGTTTACTGTGATGAAATTCATAATTAAATTGAATATAAAGAACACCATGAGTCTTTCGATTGATAAATACCCCAATCAAGGAAGTGAATCTCATTTAATTAAAGAGGAAAAAAATTGTTAGTATGAATTATGTAGAATATCATGCAGGATTCTTATGGGTAGAATAATTGATGAGGATTGCAAAAAAACACAATGAATGAAATTGGATTGTTCAGAAACTTCCTATGTAGGGAGAAAAGCTCAAAAATCCGTTTGAGAAAATGAAGTGAACTCACATCTCATTCCCCAAGTGTTATACCCAACAAGCATTATGTTGATATAAAAATCAAACCAATAAAATAAAATAAGATAGAATAAAATAAGATAAAATAAAATGCTGAAATTTCACATTTACTCGCTGTGAACTGGAGTGCTTATCTATTCAGCTTCCGCAAAATTGCAAAACTACTGATATTTTGAAGTTTAATCAATGTGTGCTGTACTTAAGGGAAAATTTACAGATCTAGAAAAACTTAATAAGTTTTTAATAGCCAAAAATTGTGCAGATTGGACCAAGATTTGAATTTGAAACAATACTTGGACTGGTAGTGATATTAAACTGGAACCTTCTCACATTACGTGTCTTCTGCATGAGTCCCAAATCAAATCAAGGCTTGGCTTGGTATACATGTGAGCTTCTGAATCTTAACAGTATTTCATGATAATTGCATTTTCCTAGTTTTTTATTGAAAGAAGATGAAATCCAATGAATTGATAATGTACAGTCACATCTCATTTTTTACCAAGCAATAGATATCCAAGCTCAACAGAACCCAAAACTATGTTACACCATTATGTTTTTATCTCAGTTCCATTATGAAATTCATGGTTAATAGTAAATTTTGAAATCAATTCTCAACTGCATACTTGTTGGGTATAATTGTTGAAAAATCATTTGAAAACTTGGGGATAGTTCTGGGATAAAACTGAGATAGAATCATTGATATCACATTTGTATGCTATTGTTGCAACACAGATGGACTTTGAGATACCCATGGGATACAGCAAAGCCACCCAATAGTGGGTGCCTGATCCTTTTTCCTGGTGAAGCGTTCATCCACCTGTATAGGCTATTCAGGTAACACCTTAGCTGTGGGAGTAGGTATGACACATGGTTTAACCTACCCGCCATTACCTCGACTTGTTTGAAAGAGAATTCTGAGTGCGGTAGCAGGAATTCCTTGAGCTGCTGGATCCTTTGGTACTTCTTGTTGTCCGGTAATCTTACAGACTTCTTTGTTGCATTCCATATGAAACCTATGTACTTTTGTTTCTCCTTAAATGGGGAGTACTTGGTCGAATTCGTCTTGACTCCTAATCCTTCCAATCTGGCTACAATGTGTTCCATCTCAACGGTGGAGTTGGGGTGTTTCACAAAGAGGTTGTTGTCCACCCAGCGGAACACTGTTACTAGGTCAAACTCATGGAGCATTAGTTGTTTCCATGCGTCTGCTGGTCTCCCAAATGAGCCGCAGCCGGCGACCCCTCCAAAGGCAATGCGGGTATCTATTAGGATCCCTCCATTGAAGTCGCGGACCATTAGATATGCCCACTGGGATTTGGCCGTCGGGATCTGGCGGTACGCCTTCTCCCACTTGAACAAGGTGAGGAGGAGTGGCTCGGATTGTTGACGGAAGAACTTTGAGACGCTTTCGAAGTCGTCCCAAGTGGTTGCATAATCTAGTTTGTTGACGAAGGAGTTTACTGAAGGGGTTGAGGGGTCCTCCTTGGAAACGAGAGGTCGTTGATCGACCTTATGGACCCGTCTCCATTTACTGCTGCTCCTAATGGGTTAGTTCTGAAGAAGCTAAATTTCTTCATAAGTTGCTCATGGGTGTATGGGCCAAACATCCGTCCAGCCTCGACCTCTTTTTTCATTGATTGTTCGATCTTGTCTTGTGCCAGGAGAGCTGACTGATGGTTGGGGGGTGTGAAGTAGGGAATCGCCGGTCCAAGGTTATGGTTCGGGATGCCTTGGTCGAAGCCATTTTTGAAACCGTTTATCACGTCTTTGAATTCGGATGCAAGGCCTGCCTCTTTGAGTACTTTCTCCCATTCGTCAACATTCATCTCACACTTAATCTCTGATGGCCAGTCAGGGGTCTCCCCTCTGTCTGCCGTGGAATCATGGGGCTCAGTAGGGCTTAGCGGCGGTGACTGTACACTCCTCCGGGAACTTATCTCACTGTTTGGGAACGAGCGCACTTATGTTAGGTGGCTTATCCAGGTGGGAAAAGAGTTTTTTTTTTTTGCATTGGGTTTGGTTTAAGCTATCTACAATTGGAGCGGGAGACATTGGGCTAGGTTGCTGGGGGTTGCGGTTGGGTGACGAGCATCTTTCCTTTTTTTTTTTTTTTTTTGAATATAGTGGGGTGAATGGAGTGAGAGAAAAAGGAAAAGGGGGAACCTACTCGTTTCCACGTCGTCTACCGGCTGCTCCGTGGTTCGGGTTATACTATAGTTCCTACCCTTGTAGCCTGAGCTCCGTGGAGGCTTATTCAAGTCCGGTCTGGCGGGTAGGGAGTTGGGCGGCACCGGTGTCGGCCGGCTTGCTGTTGCCGCTGCTGTTGGTGGTCGAGGCTGTACTCGAAGACTTGATCGATTTCTGGCCGGTGTGGGGGTCCCATCCTTGCCTCGACCCCCCCTAGAGAGTAGGGGTTTTCTTTGACTCCGAGTTCGTTGAAATTCCGGGCTTCTGAATGGGTGTCGTCCGCGGTCTCGGGTTTGAACTGGGAAATGTTTGAGAAGGATTCTTCGCCATCTTTCTCGACCCTGAATGCAAACGCGTTGTTCCGGATTCGGATGTTGTAGTGCAGAGCTACCATAAAGCCGTGTTTCTTTTGTAGTCAGTCGCAGTGGGCTTTGTGGAGAAGGATCCACTTGGCTAGTACGGGGTAATTGTACCTTTCCCGGATTGTCTCGTGAAAACACCGGTGGTTCAAGGTCCAATCTGAGAAGGATTGGAGCCATTCGTCCGGGACTGCTAGGCCGTGGTATCTCAGATTCTTCTCCGCCGACGACTCATCGGTTTTGGGTCGGTTTTTTGAGTGATAGGATAGTGCTTCTTCCTGCCAAGCCTTGTTGAAGATGGTTAGCGGGATTGGGCCTTTTAACTCCAGAAGGTTCTTGTGGAAGTAGGGTGTGAAACCGCCATTGTCGTGAGAGTTGGTGTTGGCCCAAATGAATTTGATTCCTCTGACCTGCGGCATGCCTTTGGCTTTGATTGGTCTCTTCTTGGAGGTTGGGATTGGTTCTAAAGACGTTGAAGCTACCGCTGCGTCTCTGGTTGTTGGCTTGGGGGAAGCTTCTCTCGCTAAGGTGTCGTACATCGCGAAGAACCTGTCCGCCTTGGCCTCGTCCCCGTCTTCTTGGGCTTTGACGGCTTTGGCCAGGATAATCTCCTTTGCTCTAGAGGCTGTAGCCTTGACATTGTTCTGGGACTCGTCGACCGGATCATCTATGATTTCTACTAAGGATTTTTTTTTTTTTTTTAGTACATGATGTTCCATTCCTCTCCTTTTTTTTTTTTTTTTTTTTTTTTGCTTACCGACTGGGTTTTTAAGCGTTGTCCTGGTTACCGACCCCGAGGGGTTCGGATCCGGCTCCACCGATTTGGTGGGTGTGGCTTCCGATCCTTTCGGATCGGTCTGGGATTTTGCCGTTATGTTGGTTCCGCTGCCTTTCGGCTGGGGTATAGTTTTGGAAGCGAGCGAACTGGGGGGTTTGTGGGTGGATTGGGTGGATCTTTGTTGCTGCGAAGAGTCTTTTACGCGGTTGCTGAGGGCTTGGATTTGGTTTGGGTCGGACATGTTGAGGGAAGGATTTTTCCGAGGGGAAATTATTTAGGAGGATAGGGATATGAAACGGGTGTTTTGTCGAAACAAGGTTTGCAAAAAAAGGAAGAGGAAGTCGAGGCCTACAAAAAGGATAGCCGGTGGGGGGAGATGACGGTGATTCTAGGAGGAAGGGGATGTAGGGTTCGAGTTGCTCAAGGGAGAAAGACTCAGGAGCATTGGTTGGATAGCTCTTTCCCTCTACGCCCTGGACATTCGGCGCAGCCGGGTTCAGCCTTCCTGCGCAGCTGCCGCCCCGAGGACGGGTCGGCCTGTGGGAAAGTGCAGGGCTGCGGGGCCGCGTCCTCCATGGAAACGTTTCAATTCCCGGTGCCCTTCCATCAACACTCCATCATCACAATGTGCACAAACTAAACAGGTTTGATATGCCACACAGTGCAGTTGTCCCTCTCACAAGCACTGACAAGCAAGAAATAGAAAACATAATTAACTCAGTAAAAGTACCTGCTGACTGGAAGTTAGCATTTTGCTTGTTTAAGCAGGTCCAATCCCTGATCACCTTGGCTCTCTCTCTTCATTATCAGTAGAAAACCTTAAAAAATGCAATTGGCCAGCTGCAAGGGAGAAGTCAAAGCAGTTAGCTTTGCTCTTCAGTGCCAGTCATACACAGGACTTGGTGAGGTCTTGCTGAAGTGGGCATTTGATCATAATATTTTCACTCCCTGAAGTGGGCATTTGATCAATATATTTGGAGTCCAGGGGCATGTAATTGTACACCCCACTAGACATAAATGGAGTGCTTTGTTGTTATGGGTGTTCTGGGGAGAGCAGGTGATGGATCTTCAGGGTTCTGAGTCTTGATGGTAGATTGCAAGATGAGGAATGTACAAGGTTCGGATCTCGAACGAACTCCAAGTTCGAAGTTCATGACATGTACATAACAGGCTCTCTACATATGTAACGTCCCCAGTTCCAGTCCTCCACAGCTCATAACACTATCCCCCCTTTAATGCCCAAGCCGCCCCCGTTGTTGTCCTAAAAAATTTTAACTATGGATAAAAAATAAAATAAAAAAATTCCTCCTCTTCTGGCTCTGCAGTCTTTCCCCGGGCAGCGTTAAAAAACCCAGTGGGAAAAAGCTTGCCCTCTCACTTCATTCTCCGTGACCTCTTGTGTCTTGACACCGCATCCGGAAAATTGACGTTGAATTTGGCAACCAGTTCTCGACAGTGTTCCAAGTTGACCTCGGGTTCCCACAAGTTCTCCTCCGGTCCGAAGCCTTTCCAGCTGACCAAGTATTCAACCTTCTTCCATCTTCTCCGACAGCCCAGTACGCCTTCTACGTCCCACTCCTCCTCATTGTTGACCTGTACTGGTTCTGGTGATGGATGGCGCCTTCCAGTGATGGTGTCCAGGTTGTGCTTCCGCAGTACTGAAACATGAAACACCGGGTGAACACCCTGCATGGATAATGGCAAAGTCAGTTTGTACGCAGATTGGGATATTTTCTTAGAAATTTGGAATGGTCCCAGCCATTGGTGGTCCAGCTTGGGGCTAGGTTTTGTTGTCAAAATATTCTTGCTGTTCAACCAAACCTCCTCACCAATGTTCCAAATCGGGGTGTCCTTTACTCCTTTGTTGAATTGGGTCTTCATCGATTCTTGAGCTGCTTCCAGACATAACTTGAGTTCTGACTGGACTTCATCAATTTGTTTGAGTTGCTCTTCAACCGCCGGTAGACACTGTTCACTCGATGGGATCCCGCTGTATGAAGGATTGAAACCGTAGTTTGCCTTGAACGGTGAGACTCCAATTGAGACGTGATCATTGTTGTTGTAGGCAAATTCTGCCGTCGCCAAAAGGGGTTCCCAGTTGTCCTGTCGGTACTGAACAAAGTGCCGTAGGTACTGCTCCACCGCCTTATCTGCGATTTCGGATTGCCCGTCAGTTCGAGGGTGGTAGGCAGTTGAAGGGTGGAGCCGGATTCCAAGTTGCTTGTCCAATTCTTGTGTGATCTGAGAGATAAAAACACTTCCTCTGTCCGAGAAAATTGTCTTTGGTGTGCCGTGGAGTTTCCAAACCTGTTTCAACATAAGATCTGCAAGCTGCTCAGAGTTCATGGTCTTGTTGCAAGGCAGGAAGTGGGCCATTTTAGTCAGTCTGTCAATCACAGTGAGGATACTGTCACAATTGTTGGATAGGGGAAGGTCTGCTATCAAATCATAGCTAATGTCCGTCCACGGGCCTGCAGGGATGGGCAGCCGTTCCAACGTCCCAAATGGTTTCTGGGTTGAGGATTTGACCCAAAGACAAGAGTCGCAACCATCCACGTAGCGGTTGACAAAGCTTTTCATGGATGGCCACGTGAAGCTGTGGCGTATCAGAGAGAGCGTCTTTAATCTTCCTGGGTGTCCTGCTAACTTGCTGTCATGGCGGCTCCTCAGAATTTTGGTCTTGAGGTCTTCATTCCGGGGTACTTCAATCCGTCCGCTCCTGTAGAGCACTCCGTCTTTCACCGAGTAATGCTTGGTGGCCTCCTTCATTCGACTGGAAACTGGGTTCTCACAGGCTGAAATCAATTCGGTCAGTCTGGAATCAGATGGAGTCAGAGATTGGATTTGGCTTATCAGTTCGCTGTCTGTTGGAATATCCCCTGACGGGGTGTTGGGCTCCTCCACACCGAGAATGTCCACTTGGAACCAATGTTTGGCGTCATCCAGATCCACAGACTCGTCTTCAAACCAGCAGTCAAATTCAGCCACTTCAGCGAAAGTGTCGGGGGTGATGTTCTCGGGTTGCAAAAGTTGTCCAAAGGTGAGCTTGTCCTCCTTTGAAGGCGCCAGGTCGGGTCGTCTGGACAGAGCATCCGGTTTGGATGACTGTCGGCCCGGTCGGAAAACAATCTCAAAGTTGAAGCATCACATGGTTTTGGCCCATCTCGCTTGCCTCCTTGTCAGTTGCTTGGTTGTCATGAAGCTTTCAAGGTTCCGGTGGTCGGTGTAGACAATTGCTTGTAGTCGATTCGGGTTGCCCTCTAGATAGTGACGCCATTCCTTGAAAGATGCCACAATTGCCAGCAATTCCTTGTCAAAAATCTCATAGTTCTTCTCGGATTGGACCAGTGATCGTGATAAATACACCACCGGGTGAAGTTCTTGATCCTTGTCGCAGATTTGGGATAAGACGGCACCGAGTGCAAAGTCCGAGCAATCACATTCAAGGACAAAAGGCCTGTACGGGTTGGCTATCTTGAGTACTGGCACCGTGGTGAACGCGGTTTTCAGAGTTTCAAAGGCCTTGTTGCAACGGTCGTCCCAGATATAGGGAGTTTTGTCATTTGTCAAGTCGTGGAGAGGTCGGGCTATTCCTGAAAAGTGGTCAATGAATTGCCGGTAGAAGTTTGAGAAGCCAATAAAACGCTGTAGTTTGGTCACATTCTTGGGCGGTGGCCATTCGGATACAGCTTTGACTTTAGTCGGGTCCATCCTCAGCCGGTTACATGATATCAACAGTCCCAAGTATTCCACTTCTGGTTGAGAGAATTCACATTTTTCCGGTTTCAGCCAAAGTTGATGCTTGCTAAGTGTCTCCAATACTCCCATGACAGCCGCTTGGTGGTCGGTTCCCTTCTGCGTGTAGATCATGATGTCGTCCAGGTAAGCTGCCGTGTCCTTCCCAATCCATTCCAACAGGATGCCGTGTCCTTCCCAATCCATTCCAACAGGATGTCTTGCATGAAATATTGAAAGTAGCCTGGTGCTCCTGTTGGTCCAAATGGCATAGTCAACGGTGCAAATTTTCCTTGTCGACAGACAAAAGCCAGCTTCTCCTCGTCACCCTCCGCTACACATAGATTTCTGTAGGCGTTTCTCAGGTCAAGCTTGGTGAAATTGTCGGCGTCGAGTAGGCTATCAACCAGGTCCATCGTCAGAGGTAGGGGGTACTTGTTCTTCACGGTAACCGCATTGAGCTTCCGGTAGTCAAAACATGGGCGTAAGTTGCGGTCTTTCTTCCCAGTGAACAGCACTGGTGCTGCCCAGGGCAAAGTGGTTTGTCTGATGGTGCCGTTTTCTAGTCCTTCAGTGATCAGGGTGTCGAGTGCTTGGTTTTTGGCGGGTGAAAGGGGAATGATCCTACTTGCTTGGGGTAGGGCTCCCGGCACAAGGTCTACTTGAAAGTCGTAGATTCTTCTGGGTGGCAGTTTCTGGGCACTGGACTTGCGGAACATGTTGATATACCGGTGATAGTGGGTCGGAACTAGTTCTTCTGCCGTCTTCACAGGGGTCCTGGCCTTGCTGTCCGCTGCGACATGAGCCGATGTTGACCAAGAGGCTTTGGCAGCGCTGACATCTGCGGTTGGAACAAGTTCTAGGAGAGGAAGAGGCTTGCCAGCTGTTTCAACAGAATTTATGGAAGGGACCGCAGCGAACTCACATTGCGGGGGTGTCAACGTGTCAGAAACACACACCCCCTTGCCAAAAATCCTAGCTTGCCTCATGGGCTCCACGCCAATAGATGAGGCCTTTGTCGGAATTGGAAAAACTGGATCGGCAGTTGCAATGGTCCTGTCTTCGGTGGTTGAGATCCGGTAGGTGGTGCTATGTCCTAGGAAGGGAAGAGGCTTGCCAGCTGTTTCAATAGGAATTTTGGAAGGGACCGCAGCAAACTCACATTGCGGGGGTGTAAACGTGTCAGAGACACACACCCCCTCGTCAAAAATCTTAGCTTTGCCTCATGGGCTCCACGCCAAAAGGTGAGGGTTTTTTCGGAATTGACAAAGCTGCATTGACAGCTGCAAAATCCTGTGGGGGTTTTCCTGAATTTCTGGTCAGTCCAATCAATTGAGGGTGTCCATGCTTTACGGGATCCAAGGCATTTCCAAGGGATCCCGTCGTAAGAGTCCTTTCAGCCTAGTGATGATGAATGGGGGAAAGGAATATGGGTCGGGTGGTCCAAAGTCAGGTGGATATCACATGAAAGGACGGGTTTGAGGAACCCGGTCAAAACCAGAGATG